AATATACTACCTCTTCTTCTGGCTCCTTTTTCGCTCTCTCTCTCTTTCGCTCTCTGCTCCTAATACACCTCCTGCATTCACGGTTGCTCCAACTCCCATACTGACGGTGCCGTTGGTTGGCGGTTAACTGCACTATTTGCATCACTATTACCATAAAACTCCGGCACCGCCGACGACAACTCCGGTATATATTCCATTTTGAGTATAATTTTCACCTGTTGCAATGCGCAATAGAACCCATGCAAACGCTGATAGATTGCATGGAAACGATTACGCAAACCAATTACATCGACAATCGGCAATTTGGCACAAACCACTGCCAACGCATCCACCGCTTGATCGTATAGAATGCTACATTCTGCCGCAATGTTGATAAGCGGTTGCAAGCGGCATTGTGTCTGAGGTGTGGCCACCGAGAGTTGTTGCAGTGTCAGTCCGGCGAAAATGGCATGCTGCAGCGACAACAAATTTTCCAAATAGTCAAAGATGTCAGTGCACAGCTGAAAGCTGCAAGTAGAAAAGAAGTAGATTTAGATTTTTCATTTCTTTAGTTGATTTGAGTTGATGTTTAGTTGTCGGGCATATTCACCATAAATTCACATCCCATTCCTTGGTGATGTCGGCCTCCAGTGCACCATTGAAAAATGCGTAATTGCAATGAAAGCGTGACTTGGCGTACAACAACTTCAGGTACTTCACAATGCACACATCGATGGCACCCGTTTGCAGCGCCCAATAATTAACTAAATCGTAGATTTTTTTTTGATACTTCAAGCTCTGCAACATTTCGAGTATTTGTGGTGTACCAAAACGCATCGCCATATGCATTAAATTGCAATATTTCCACGCACTAAAACGGCTGGCATACAAAAGTTGTGTATCAGTCAGTTTCATGAAAGTTTGTGCGCCATCTGTGCGATGCGTGAGCACAACAATGGTGCGTGCGCGTAGACCATCGAAAGGTTTCTCCTTGGGGTTAAGCACTTTCTTAATGTGCTTTTTCTACAAAAAGTGGAGCGTTTATAATAACGATTCAGTTTTAGAACCTAAATAGTTATTTTTAACAAAATTCGTTACCATATCTGCGCGTTCTTTGCTGAGTAGCTCCATTTGTTATTGGAAAAAAATAAAATAAAAAAAATCGCGATCTTTATGAATTGCTGCTGTGACTCACCGTTGTTCTAGCTCAACTGAGCAGGTACTATGAATGAGGTATAATAAAAACAAAACGAGTCGGCAACGAAATTTACTTATCTCTTCAAAACAGCACAAAATCGTTTGTATCTGCACATCTATAAACTTATTACCCTGCTGAAAAAAAAATATCAATTGATAAAAAATTAAACAACTTGTGGAATTTCTATAAAATATATAACTTGTAGTTACCTACAAAAAGCTAACTTGAAACTAGTTGAACAGTAATGCAAGAGTAATGCAGACATAATCAGGAGATTTTTTTCTTTAAAGAAGTTTCTATTTAAATATCCCCATACAAATTTTTCTTTGAATACACTTTCCTTCTGCGCTTCACAAATACTTTTTCGAATTGAAGACAAATAAAAGGAAGATCGAAATTTTTTATTATAATTTTGAAGTTATGTTTGACGGAGTTCGAATATGATACCACCAACAGCAGAATATGTAAACAAATATGAAATATAATAAAATACAATAGATAAATAAAAATAAAACAAAAAATACTTTGTTACTCTTATGGATATTTTATGTTCAAAAGTAGTTAGTTACAAGTTAGTTGGCATATAATGCCATAGAAATATAGTTAGCTTTCCTCAAAGAAAATATGCAGATAATAGTTACCTTTTAATCAACTTCAAGTTAACTTATAGTTAGCTGCATTTCCCGCAGGGTATTAATAATAACTACAGCAGAGACAAAAGTTTTGTTTGTGTTTTATAAGATTGCATATAATTTTGAAATTTTTGTGCTATGTTGAACTCGGCGAAAATCGCTTAAGCCGTTATGGCGCTAGTGAAGAAGAACAAGATTTAATTCATACATAGAAAGAGCTTACGGAAAAACTATTTTCCTCAGATCCGTCTTACCAAATAAAAGTGCAGTGTACTTCGAAATTTTGAGGGTGTCTACATATTTACTCAGTAACCGAGGAAGACTTTAGTATTGAGCCTAAATCTCGGGACTGCACTACACTTTCGTTTATAAAATAAACACCTAAATGTCTTTTGCATTTGTGGATCAGTGCAGGACACTTTTCCGAGGTGTGTCGTGCAGTTTTGATATCTATCCTGCGTCGCTACTCCGTGTAAATTCCTAGTTTGGTAAGCTAAAAGTTCAGCCTGCAAAGTACTGTCAGAATTCTTGTAACAGTTCTTGAGTTATTTTTGGATTAATTCATACCACTCCTTACAGCGTTTTAGGCTATATGTTCCTATAAGTGTTTTGGAATGCTCTGGACCTGATAGTGTGTCCCAGCAGCGCTTCCTTTGAGCCGCTTTCTCCAGCCGGATCAGAGCAGAGAGCGTCCACTTTCCAATGTCACAGAAATTTATCGGCTGTCTCGTTTGCTTCAATACCAATATGTACCGGAATCCAAAAAACCCAAACTCGATTGGCTAGAACAAGAGTATTTAGTTTATTAAGATACACTATCACCTGTTTAGATGTACCCTTACAGGGGCGCACCCAGGAATATATTTTAGGGGGGGTTTTATATTTCTGAAGATATATCACCGGAAAATACTGAAAATTTGCTTCAGATAATATCCTCTTTAAAATACACTTATGCAAGTTTTATGTACAGTATGTAATAAATAAATAAACGTTTAAAAATTCATAAACTGCACTTTATTTACAGATTAACAGAACTCAAACGCTTTTAACCGACTTCAAAAAAGGGAGGTTATCATCTCGCCGGAATACATAACTTTGCACCACGTGAACCGTTTTCAATAATCCTTTTTTTATTAGAAAGATAGTACCTCAAGGTCGTCCCGTAATTTGTTTTAGAGATCCGATGATTGGATCATGAAGAAATTAACGGTACGCCTAAATTTGAATATGAGAATTGAAGTCGGTTGTGTTCTTTCCTTAAAAACTACTTGCTTAATAAAAAGTTCTATAAACTCAAGATGCGCTCAACTTTCAAAAGTACCTAATAAAAAGTTTTAAAAAAGAGTCAGTAAAAATAAATTTATTGATTCCATAAATTTTTGCACTTCTATGTTCATTCTTTCGATTTCTGGTTTTCGATAGAGATGGTGATTTTTCACGATTGCTAAATTTTTTTAATATTTCAAATACCGAAAAAATTAACTGAACTCCCAAGAAAAACGAAAAATTCATATAAAACGACGGACGAGAAATAGAAAAGAAATTTTCTTCTACCAAAATTTCTTAAATCAGTTTGCAGCTCTCAAGAAAAAAAATGCTCGTATATTTATTCCCTCGTATATTTATTCCCTCCGATTGTTTCGCATGATATTAAAGTACAAATACTTTCCCATGGGCTCCGTGCGTCCAAGTACACCTATCCCGGTACCCTCTTCGGTAAATAAGCCGCGAGTGTACTAGGTTATCATGTTTTGGTTTATTCGATATTTCTCGGATATAGCTGACCAACTCTTCTTATTACTTAGATCAGTTTCATATATCTTCGTAAAGCTGAACTTTCAGGGCACTGCTTTGTCAAAATATCGATCTTCTTATGACTAATAAATACCCGATGTTGGTACCTCAGTTGAGCTCTTTTCGGCCCATACTGTATGAATATGAAGAGGGGAAATGGTGAAATCTAGAGTAACTTCCAAGTATGAGGTTAGACGAGTTCTCACTGCACCAATTATGGCATTTGTATCTTGCTGAGCGTTTTGGCAGTCTCAAGGCTCAATAATTTACCATAGGTCGTACTATTGTACACCGATCCGTCTCAGTATTTAGGGGAAACATCCCCAGCTCTTTTCTGCTATGAAACTACATGTCATGTACAATCTTACAGGTTTCTTCGCAGTTATCACTACGTACTTATGGTTTTCGGAAAATAGGGCAACCAATGTATTTACGTAACCTCAGAGAAAATAATCGACAGGCGTTGAATCGCACGATCTTGGTGGGCTCTATTGGCATGTGGCGCCGCCCTGTTGGAAAACCTGTACTCAGCCAGTATTCCATTCGATTGGAAAACGACGTAATCATGGCTCAACGCTTGCCGTTGAAAGTAGCCGCTCCCCTCTTTAAATAAGCAAGAACCAACGATTGTACCAGCCCATAAAGCGCAGCAAACAGTGAATTTTTGTAGATTTAACCATGCCTCGTGAATCTTTCGAGAATTCTGATCACTTCAAGGAACGAAAAATGAGCCGAACAGAATATAGCAGTAAAACAGTGGATTGACTGGCGATTGCCTTTATGCCCCTTTGAACGAACGTACAGCGCAAAGGATGGCCATTCGGCTTTAATTCCTGCTGCAACTGGATCTTCTAAGGTCCAAAGGCTTTACGAAAAACTTTGATATAATAAAGTTGCTGCGCACGATGGCGAATAGACTCATTAGGGTCCTCCTCAGTACTCTGCTCTACAGCAGCAACTGTTTCTTTGGTCAGCTCTGCGGATGTGTATCATTATTTGTCTATGTTTGTTCGTGATGAATTGGCAAAAAAAGTGCACAAAATTGATAGTAGTGATGTCAGATCTAACCAATTAGTGACCGTTTAATTGTTATCGGAAAATGAAAACTCTAAAAAAAAACTTAAGCGCCATTTTTTTTCAAAATGTTCTTACGTTTTTTTTTTGCGGTTGGGGCTCGATATATCACTTCAAATTAAATTTTACCATTAAGCAGTGTTATTCTATTCTTGTCAGCGCAGCCTCGGACTACCAAAGCCCAAAGCTACATATAAACTTTTAGCAATTAAATTTTTCCCTATCACTTTGCTTATCAATTATTACGTTTCCCACTTGCATACATATGTACATACATACACACTTATCATAGAGTACAACATACAATATGCGAAAATATAGACAAGCATTTATACATACTTTTATGTCAGATAAGTACGTATGTATGTATATATATATATAATACATGTGTGCGACTTAACTGACAACACAGATCCATACCAAATGTTTGTTATTTATTAAAGCGGTCATAAAACTACACCGTGCGAAGTAAACCTATTCGAGAAGATATGAAAATTTATGGGGAAAATGTGCAAAAGCAAAATTAATTGTAAATACTTATGGCTTGCATTCACCAAGGTCCGTTTTCCCATTGACAAGTTAACTCTCAATAGGCACTTAACCACAGATTTTCAGTAAAAAATATAAAAGTTAACTGCCGAATGTGCGTTAACTCTTTACTGTGAAAACGGCCCTAAGTCATTTATTGGCGGACATATTCTGATACAACTTTCTTTTCCTTAATCCATGACGTTGCTGATTATACATATTGGTAGTCAAAAAACTAGCGGACAGCCTATTGAATTATTTAGCTCCGTTTGACAATATGGGGGGTCTTCACACCGTTTTCTTGGTTCGTTAGATCGCAGTTTTACGTATATTTTGATTTTTTTGTTTCATTGGTTTCGTTGGATTTACAAAAACAAAATTTACTTAAAACTGTAAAAAAAATGCTGCTAACTAACGAAGCAACGTGCTCAGTGTGAAGACCTATAATGTATTTTCACTTGTTTGACAACAAATGCCATTCAATTTCGGATAGTGAAAATCAGGGATGTGTGCCAGTTTTAAACCGGATTAGCCGTTTTTTCTTCTGATATTAATTAACTGAACCATTAACCAAACCTGAATTTTCCACGAACCTTTTTTTATAAAGATTTGAAGCTCGTTTCGACTAAGAAATTTTGACATTTTTCACTGATACGCCCGCTGGCGAATATTTAAGAAAAAGATAAGTCCGGAAACGGGCTCCTCATACAAAAAAAAACCCTTTAGCATGTTTGAAACAAAAATAGTAATAAACTTCTTTACGTCACTACAGCAAAATAAAATGCTGCTAAGGAAAAAACTATTTTCGCAATTTGACAGGCTCGAAATTGGTTTTAGACCCATTGTCTTTTCGGTAACTTTGGTTAGAATTTCATAGTCAGAAAAAAAATGAACCCGCCGTAATGTACCTACATACATAAAGGGAAAAATAAATTGAACTTGTGTATACGTAAATATA